ACCTGAACAGGTCCCTTCACGCTTTTTAAAACCTTCAACACCGCCTCTTCTATAATGTAGACTCTTTTCAAGGCATCACTATTTCCCCAGCTTCCATGTCTTTCTCCACAGTAACTGATGCAAAATATTTCTTTAGTATTTCACCCATCTCCTGTGTTTTGATGGTCTTGTTAATCTTTAAGGGAGCCTATACTCTCCCCAGTTACTCTTGTGCCCTTAATATACTTGCAGAATCTCTTCGGATTCTCCTCTACCTTATGTGCCAAAGCTCTCCAATGTTCCCTTTTAGCCCTTCTCCCTCTTAAGTGTACACCTGCATCCCTTATACTACTCAATGGATTCACTTGATCCCAACTGTCTATACCTGACATATAACACCTCCTTGTTCTTGATCAGGACCTCAGTCTCTCTAGTCATCCAGTGTTCTCCACTCCTGCCAACGTTGCCCTTCACAACATGCTGTCCCTGAATCCTCAGCTTTTGAAAGTCTCCTAATTTCCAGATGTCCCTTTACTTGTGAGCAGCCTCTCCCAATCAACTTTTGAAAGGTCCTGTCTAATACCATCAAAATTGGAATTGTCCCAATTTAGAACTTTAACTAGTAGATCAGATCTATCCTTTTCCATAACTATTTAAAAACTAATAGAATTAAGGTCACTGATCCCAAAGTGCTCCCCCACTAACACTTCAGTCAGTTGCCCTGCCTTATTTCACAAAAGGAGGTTGAATTTTGACCTTTTCTTGTAGAGCCATCTACATATTGATTGAGAAAGTTTTCTTGAACACGCTTAACAAATTCTTCCCTATCCAAACCCCTGATACAATGCAGTCCCAATCTATGTTTGGAATGTTAAAATATCCTACTATTACAATCCTATTATTCTTACAGCTGACTACTGAGGGGTCTGTAGTACAATCACATCAAAGTGATCACCCCTTTTTTATTTCTCAATTCCACCCATTTAGCTTCAGTGGATGATCCCTCAGGAATATCCTCTCAATGTACTGCCATGATGTTTTCCCTAATCAAAAATGCCACTCTCCCTCCTCTCTTGCCTCCCCTTCTATCCTTCCTAGAGCATTTATAACATCACTGTATTCCACATGCTGTAGACTGACCCCCAATGCATTTAAGGAGAGAATTCCAGGATTTTGACCCAGTGACAGTGAAGGAACAGCAATATATTTCCAATTCAGGATGGTGAGTTCCTTGGATGGGAACTTACAGGTGATGGTATTCCCATGGTGTCTGCTACCCTTTTTCTTCTAGATGGAAGTGGTTTTGAGTTTGGAATGTGCTGTCTAAGGAGCTTTGATGCAGTTTTGCAGTGCATCTTGTAGATAGTTTGCACTGCTGCTACTGAGCATCTGTGGTGGAGGGAATGGATGTTTGTGGATGTGCTAAGCAAGTGGGTTGCTTTGACCTGGATGGTGTCAAGCTTCTTGAGTGTTTTTGGAGCTGCATTCATCCAGGCAAATGGAGAGCGGTCCATCACATTTCTGGTGTGTGCCTTGTAGATGATGGATAGGCTTTGGGAGTCAGGAGGTGAGTTATTTGCTGCAGTATTCTAGCCTCTGACCTGTTTATGTGGCGAGTCCCGTTGAATTTCTGGTCAATGGTAACCCAAGGATGTTGATGGTAGGAGATTCAATGATGATAACACTGTTGAATGTCAAGAGTAGTGGAGATGGCCTTTTGGAGATGGTCATTGCTTGGCATTTGTGTGGTGTGAATGTTACTTAAGTCTCGTCAACGGCGAATGCCCCCACTTCTGACCTTATGATGGTGCGAAGATCATTGATGAAGCAGCAGAAGTGTGTTGGGTTTAGGACATTATAGTCAGGAACTCCTGCAGAGATGTCCTGGAACAGAGATAACTGACCTCCAACAATAATAACCATCTTATTATTTCCCAGGTATGACTCCAACCAGCCCCTGATATGCATTGACTCCAGTTTTGCTAGGGCTCATTGATGCCACACTCAGTCGAATGTGGCCTTGATGTCAAGAGCTGTCACTCACCTCACCTCTATAATTCAGCTCTTTTGTCCATGTTTGAACCAAGGCTGTAATGAGGTCAGGAACTGAGTGGCCCTGGCAGAACCCAAACTAGGTGTCACTGAGCAGATTATTGCTAAACAGATGTTCCTTGATAGCACTGTTGGTGACATCTTCCATCACTTTACTGTTGATCGAGAATAGGCTGGTGGCAGGGTAATTAGCCAAATTGGATTTGTTGTACTTTTTGTGTACAGGACATTCATAGGCAATTTTCTAACCTCTCAGGTGGATTTGAAAGATCCCACAGTGTAGTAGAGTTGTTAGGAAAGCCCAGGTATGGTGGCAGTGTGCATACAAAATTGACAACAGATAGAAATTATAGAGTGGAGATAACCAATTATTTTTCAAACTGGAGGGATGATTTAGTTGTGGTCCCCAGAGACCAGTATTAATTCCATTGCTGTTCTGATATCAATTAATGACCTGGAATGGGATATACAGGGTATGATACGGGCAGGTGTGGGGAGAATGTGCAAACTCCACATAGACAGTCACCCAAGGGTGGAATTGAACCTGAGTCCCTGGTGCTGTGAGGCAGCAGTGCTAACCACTGTGCCACCGTGCCACCCAATTAGTGTCCTATTAGTTCAAGTAACAGGGGCATGGTTGACTTCACCCAGTACAAAAAACCCATAAAGGATATCACAAAAGACTTGAGACATTGAATCTTGCAGGCACTGTTGTAATAATGCTGTTTTTTGCAGACTTTGCAGAGTGGTGTGCTGGTTTGATTGTCACAGTGACTTGCCTCTATTACTTTATTAAGTACCAAACTCAGGGGAGGTAATGGCCTACCGGTATTATCTCTGGACTGTTAATCCAGAGACCCAGCTAATGTTCTGGGGACCGGGTTCGAATCCCACCATGGCAGATGGTGGAATTTGAATTCCTGGTTATAGAAATAAATATCTGGAATTAACAGTCTAATGATGACTGTGAATCAATTGTCAATTGTCGGAAAAATCCATCTGGTTCACTAATGTGCTTTAGGGAAGGAAACTGCCATCCTTACCTGGTCTGGCCTGCATGTGACTCCACAGCAATGTGGTTGACTCTTAACTGCCCTTTGGGCAATTAGGGATGGACAATAAATGCTGCCTAGCCAGTGATGCCCTTATCCCATGAATGAATAAATAAAGAAAAAAAAACTCAGAAACCTAGGGCTCTGCTCCCCTGTCTGCAATGGGGTTTTCGACTTCCTGACCCACAGACTGCAATCAGTAAGAATAGACGACAACACCTCCACCACAATAATCCTCAACAGCAGTGCCGGCAAGACTGCGTACTGAGCCCTTTATTATACTCATTACACACTCATGACTGTGTGGCCAAATTCAGGTCTAACTCCAATTACAAATTAGGTGGATGGGTCAGATCTCAAACAATGACAAGACAGAGTGCAGGAAAGAGGTAGTCAGCTTAGTGGTATGGTGTAAAGACAACAAACTCTCTCTCAAAGTCAGCAAAATGAAGGAGTTGGCCATTGACTTCAGGAAGCAGAGTGGGGGCCATGCCCCTGTCTGTATCAACAGTCCTGAGGTGGAGGTGGTCTAGACCTTCAAGTTCTGAGGAGTAAATATCATTGACAATCTATCCTGGTCTATCCATATTGTGCTACAGTAAAGAAAGCACACCAACACCCCTACTTCCTCGGAAGGCTAAGGAAATTCGGCATGTCCATAATGACTCTTGCCAATTTTTATAGATGCACCATAGAAACCATCCTATTAGGATGCATCACAGCTTGGTATGGTAACTGCTCTGCCCAAGACCACAAGAAACTGCAGAGAATCATGAACACAGTCCAGTCCATCATAAAAACCAGCCTTCTTTTCATTGACTCCATCTACATTTCTTGCTGCCTTGGGAAAGTGGCCATCATAATCAAAGACCCCTCCCAGCCCGGTTATACTGTCTTCCACCCTCTTCCATCGGGCAGAAGATACAAAAGTTTGAAAATATATACCAAAAGCTTCTTCTCCACTGTTACCAAACTTATGAATGGACCTCATGTATTAGAGTTAATCTTTCTCTGCAGCTGTATTATGCATTTTATTCTTTTACCCTGATGTACTAATGTAAGGTATGATTTGTCTGGGCATCCCACAAAGCAATACTTTTTACTGTATCTCTGTACATGTGACAATAGTAAAAGAAATAAAATCAAAAGGAGCTCCAAATTGGCATCAAGATTTGCATTCTATCTAAATTTTGCAATAAACCTGGGCTGGAAGTTTGTTTTCAGCTCAGATTGTGTTGTTGTCTCCTGATAATGTTGATTCTTTTCTGCAATGTGACCCATGACTATCATCCAGAATGAATGCCTCATTAATAAACAACCAACAAGGAACTTCTTGGCTATACACAAGTTATATGAACACCATTAGCTGTGGGAAGCTTTTAGGAAGAAAGCCTTGCATTTCCTTATTCAGCACTGGGATGTCAGTCCAGATTTTGTGCTCAAGTTTCTGAAGTGAATTAACGAAAACAATGAATGCTACTCATTGAAGCACAGCTACCTTAATACTTGTTGTATGTAAATAATCAGTTATAGCTCTGATTAGCAACTCATACGTGGCATTGCATCTGATTTGTGGCTGAGTTTAATTTACAATCTTTGGAAAAATTTTGTTTTTTTTGGGTTAGTATAGTCATAACAATTATAAAAACATCAGTGATGAGGCTCACAAAACACAGACTGTTTTGAAGTACGTTCAAAAGCTTTTGGCTCAAATAGATGTAAGTTCCAGTATGGGGAAGGACAGTAAGTGTTAGATGAGATATTTGTGTGTAAAGTGCAGAGAAACTGCAATTCAAATTGAACTGCTGTTGGCTCAGAGCTGCAATCTAATAATGTAGTTGAGCAAGGTATTGAATGCAGGACTGGCCTGTCAATCAGTTTTGAGATGCCCAATTAGATCATATGAAAGGGGCAGGGCTCAGTCCACCTAGTATAGAAGCCGAAAGAAAGCCGTCAGAGAAGACTTTAGACTTTGAGCTTCATGGAGCTTATGCTGACCATGTTTTTTACAGATGATCTGATGAATAGTATTCTGGCATTAATTGGCACACTAACTTGTCTGTATTACTTTATTAAGTATGGCTGGGAGCTCCTAGTTGGTATCAGGATTTACATTTTGGCAAAATTTTGGAGGACAAACCTGACATTCTATGGGGAATGGGCTGGTAAGGTCGTGGTTTGTTTTTTGCTCGAATTTTCTTGCATGTCATTTTGCTGTTGCTTGATACTTTTTTGGTTCTGGACTTGTGGCAACAGTCCCTTCACATTGCTGTGTCCTGTGCATGGACATTTGTGTGTGCAAATTGTCAGGGGGAATGTGTAGTTACTGCCCACCCTCGTGACCTTCACATTACGCACATGTATACGACCAAGGAAGAGTTTCTGAATGATTCTCAAAATGTTTGAGATTAATTTGTTTCCTGAGCTCTGGTTACTGTAACTTATTTGGGACACCACTGCAGAATAAAAATAACATAATCTTTAAGTAGGTGCTGTCTGTGCATTGTTTTGCATGTTCAAACGTACTTATTACCTCAGGCTTCCTTTGAAATGTCTGTAAATTGATCTCAATGCAGGTATTTGGAATTTCCGGTGTAGTCAGCCATAAGTGTCTCTTACTTCTGAGTTAGAAAGGTATGGTTTCAAATTCCACTTACTATAAAGATTTGATTATAAAATCTAAAGCGATGCTCCAAGAGTCCATCACTCAGATGAGACTGTTAAATTGAGACTATCTCCCCTTTTGTATGAACGTTGAAGGTTGCATGCCGGTATTTGAGGAAAAGCAAGGGAGTTTTCCTAAGTGTCATGGCCAACATAATCCTCAACAGTATATTTGGTCCTTCTTTCGTGCCTGATTGTGGAACTGTGCTGTACCACATATCGTAAGTACAAAAACCATGCCTCTGAAAATGAAAGAAAGTTCTGAAGGTCACTATAGAGAGGTTGCTGTTATCAAAGTTGCACAATTCTAGCTCACAGTCATGTGAACAGCTGTGTAAATGCCCAAACCCCTATTGCTTCATATGCGATTTTAAAATCAATAATTCCAAACTTGGCATTCTTCCAGTCTTAAAATCAGAGACAAAGGAAATTAAATATTGGTTAAAAATACTTTTAAATGCTAAAAACAATGATGTGCATCTAGTTATGACTGACAGGAGAAATATGCTGGTAATTACATCCACTACACCATCATTATTAATTTTATGATTGAATCACCAGAATGGCCAAATGCTTCTCTGATATTATTGTCCAGCGTAAAAGAGACTTTCACCTGGCTACTTTAAATGAAGTCAAAATAATCTGTTATAAGACCAACCTGTTCTTGAAAAATTGGCAAATATTAATCAACATTTACACTATAATCCAGAATTAAAACTCTTAATGTCCCCCGCCCATCCAATCCTAAACACAGGCAGACTCTCAAAATATAAAGTTAATAGTCTCTGCAGAGGCTTTTAGGAAAGAGGGAAAAATGGAAAGACACCCCTGACCTCCAAAGGGTAAAATCAAAGGAAAGAATGCAATGACTTCTCATGGTCCACTGGGTTTCCTGTTGATGAAATTGAACTATTGAAACTATAGGCTTATGGAAGATCTTCCTACTAATTTGAAATCAAGATGGAACCAAAATCATTCGAAATTGGCCATGATTTAGCTTTTCAGGCGTTATAAGATAGTCAGAAATATGGATATTTGGAAATGTTATCAGGTTCCCAGGAACTTCTACTCGAAGTAGAGATTTGCAGCTTCTGGGATTTCTTTCTTATTGTGTACTTGGGTTTGTAAAATGGAAAACTAATCCCAGCAACAGTTGCTACGTGACTATTCACAGAGAGGCCCCCATAGATGTTTCAAAACTATGTTTTTCCATTAATTAATTTCCTTTGGTGCTGCAAGTGTACGTGAATAGCGTCCTGCATAAGCAAGAAATGTTTTTGCAACTGTAGGCAATGCCAAATTCCAGTTTTTGTTCTTCATGTACAAAGATTGCACAGAACTGCTTTAGTAACTGTGTATGCAGATAAAGATTTTTTTATGAATGAAGTATATTTTTGTAATAAAAGGATTTTGAGAACTTGCGATGAGACAGAACTTCAGATTTGTCTAGTACAAAAAAAAATTTACATTCTTAACAAAAAATAGTGCTGGAGAAACGCAGGTGGTGTGGCAGCATCTGTATAGAGAAAAACAGATAATGTTTCGAGTCCAGTGACCCTTCGTTAGCAATGAAGATAACTGGCTAAAAGTGGTATTTATGCTAAAACAGAAACTGAAATTGCTGGAGAAACTCAGCAGGTCTGTGGAGAGAAAGCAGAGTTAACATTACAGGTGCAATGACCCTTCTTCTGTTGAGTTTCTCCAGCAATTTTATTTTGTGTTTCAGATTTCCAGCATCCACAGTTCCTTTTTTTTTAGGCAAGGAGATTGCTGATGATAAGCAGAGAGAGAGAAAAATGTACTGTGTGGAATGCTAATGAGAAGTGTAAATGGTTGAAAAGGGATTGGTTGTGCTGGGAGCAACCCATACAAAACAGGACCTAGGAGTGTCAGAGTAGTTAACATACATGGAAGAGGATGTTCATGTTCAATGTTGAGTCCTGAAGGCTGTAAAGTACCTAGGCAGAAGTTGAGGTGTTGTCCCTCCAGCTTGCATTGAGCCTTGCTGGAGCTCTTCAGCGGGCCTAAAGCAGAAATATTGACATGGGAACCACCAACACTGTTTCTTTTGTTAAACTGCCTTTGGGATAAGGTCTCTGTTGCGAAGAGTGAGATGCATGTGGAATGCAGCTCCTCTGGCTCTTTCTCTCAACTTCCTCCCATATTCAGACACTACAATTGTGCACAAGTGACCAAAAAAGGAAAAAAAAAATGCTGTTGGGTTTTATCATTTATGGGTCAACAAATAGGCTGCCATTCCCTATTCCACCACTGAAAATGCACTGTTAGATTTGTCACCTTTTCTTGGACGAGATGGTAAATTAAAATCCATTGGAGATAGTAAGAACTGCAGAAGCTGGAGTCAGAGACAACACAGTGTGGAGCTGGAGGAACACAGCAGGTCATGCAGCATCAGAGGAGCAGGAAAGTTGACATTTCAGGTCGGGACTCTTCTTCAGAACTGGGGAGGGGGAAGGGAACTGGAAAATAAGTAGAGGGAGGAGGGATGGGGCTGGGGAAAGGTAGGTGGTGTGGTGATAGGTGGATGCAGGTAGGGATTGGTCAGTGGAATGGGTGGGGTGGATAGATGGGAGAGAAGATGGACAGGTTGTGTCAGGTCTAGGAGGGGAGAGGGAGGACAGGTGAGGTTGGGGAAAGGTAGGTGGGGTGGTGATAGGAGGATGCAGGTAGGGAATAGTGGGGATTTGGTCGGTGGGAAGGGTGGGGCGGTTAGGTAGGGAAGAAGATGAACAGGTTGTGTCAGGTCAAGGAAGAGGGGGATATGGGATGAAGTCAGGGGTGAGGAGATTTTAAAACACGTGAATTCCATGTTAAGGCCATTGGGCTGTAGGCTCCTGAGGCGGAATATGAGGTGTTGCTCCTCCAGCTTGCATGTCGAGGAGGCCAGCATGGACATATCAAAAGGGGAGTGGAGGTGTAGTAAAATGGTTGGTGACTAGAAGGTGTTGTTGATTATCACATACAGAGCACAGATGCTCCACAAAATGATCCCCGAGTCTGCGCTTGGCCTCACCGATGTAGAGGAGGCCACATCGGGAGCAACGGATACAGTAGACCAGGTTGGAGGATGTACAGGTGAACTCTTGTTGGATATGAAACGTTTGCTTTAGGCCTTGGATGGAGGTGAGGAGGGAGGTGTAGGGGCACATGTAGCACTTCCTGCTAGGGAAAGGTGCCTGGTGTGGTGGGGTTAGTGGGGAATGTGGAGCAGACGGGGAGTCGCAGAGTGAGTGGTCCCCACGAAAGGCAGATTAGGGTGGGGAGGCAAATCTCTCTTTCATCGTGGGGTCGGATTGTAGGTAGCAGAAGTGGCAAAGGATGATATGCTGGATGCGGAGGTTGGGTGGGTGGTATGTGAGGACCAGGATGATTCTGGCTTTTATTTTTGTTGGGGGTAGGGGGTTTGAAGGAAGAAGTGCGGGAAATGCAAGAGATGCAGTTGAGGGCATTTTTGATCACCGGAGGCGGGAATTTGCGGTCCTTGAAATAGGAGAACATCTGGGATGTCCGGGAGTGGAATGCTTCATCTTGGGATCAGATGCAGCAGAGGTGGAGGAATTAGGAGTAAGGGATTGCATTCTTGCAGGAGGGTGAGTGAGAGGAGGTGTAGTCCAGGTAGCTATGGGAGTTGGTGGATTTGAAATAGATGTTGGTGTTGAGGTGATTACCAGAGAAGGACATGGAGAGGTTCAGCAAGGGGAGGGAGGTATCAGAGATGGTCCAGGTAATTTTGAGGTTGGGGAGAAAGGTGTTAGTAAAGTTGAACTCTTCAACCTCCTCATGCCGCAATTCAGTCATCAATATAGCGGCGGAAGAGGTGAGGGATGGCGCCAGTGTAACAGCGAAAAACGGACTGTTCCACGTATCCTATGAAGAGGCAGGCATAACTGGGACACATACAGGTGCCCATAGCCACCTCCTTAGTATGGAGGAAGTGGGAGGAGTTAAAGTTGTTGTTCAGGATAAGGACAAGTTCTGTTAAGCAGATGAGGGTGATGGTGGAAGGGTACTGGTTGGGCCTGTGGGAGAGGAAGAAGCAGAGGGCTTTTAGGCCATCTGTGTTGGGGATACAAGTGTACAGGGATTAGATGTCCATAGTAAAGATGAGGTTTTGGGGACCAGGGAATTAGAAGTCTTGGAGGAGGTGGAGGGCATGGGTGATGTCCTGGACGTAAGTGGGGAGTTCCTGGACCGGGGGGTGGGGTTGGGGGGAGCGGAAATCCAGAGTCAAGGTAAGTGGAGATGAGTTCAGTGGGGCAGGAGCAGGCAGAAACAATGGGTCAGCTGGGGCAGTCAGGTTTGTGGATTTTGGGAAATGGGCATTGCAGGGTTGGGGAACGATGAGGTTGGAGGCTATGAGTGGGAGGTTACCTGAGGTGATGAGTATGAATGGTCTGAGAGACGATGGTTTGGGGGTTGGGATAGGGCCATAATCAAGGGGGTGGCAGGAGGAGGTGTCAGAGTTGGCGCCTGGCCTCCACGATGTAGGGATTCTATGATTGTTAAACAGCATCTATCCTTCAGCTTGGAGTCTCCTGAGGTGTGTCTTTCTGTTACGATTTTTAACATGGTATAGAGTAACTAGGATAAACAGTCAAGGTTTAAAAATGACAGTGTTGGGCTAGTTGATTTGATGTAGTCTGTACTGTGCCTATTACAACAACCAAAGGAACATGTTATTTGGTTCAATAAGCTAATCATTGCAATGCATGGTCTATGTACCTGATATCACAATGGCACTGAAATCCATGTACCAGATTGCTCAAGCTTATAATTTCTTGTGTTTTCTCCAAAACAGTGCCTTGACCAATCAGTCAATTTGCCAACCAATCAGCACCTTTTTACTCCTGTAATATAAATTATTGTTTGAACTTTAGCATTCTTGCATTTGTGCTGACTAATGCAATACAAGAAGCTTTGGCGATGTCTCTCTCAGTCATTATGCATCAATAAGATGGATCTTTAATCACTTAATTTTTCCAGTTGTGACAGGTGCAACTGCTGGGATTGGAAAAGCTTACGCTCATGAGGTAATACAGATCTCCACTTTACTCTGAAATCCTTTCTATATTCAAAGAATGGTATAGCACAGAAGGATACCTTTCAGCTCATTGCATGCAGACACCCTTTAACATGCTGTAGCAGTGAAATGTCAGCATTAAATTGAAATAAAGGGTGTTAATAATATTACAAATGCCTAAAAATGTAAAGATAATATGTATTGTTGAAGAGAAAAAAAACTTATATTTTTATTCAAATTTTTTAAAAAATCAGCAGGCACAACCTAAAATGAATATGTGCAATTAAAATTTATCTTTATTCTGTTGGTATTCTTTTCTGACAATTTGTTCCAGTTAATTCCAATTCCCTGCTATTTTACATTCTGTTTTTTAATTGGTCGTGATAGAGGCTTGTTCAGTGATATGTGTGTGTGTATGTGTATATATATATATACACACATAACCCTCTCGCAGCCTTCTGCCAATCTGATACATTTTGTGAACTCATGGTTATCCATAACTCCAGCCAAATCCTAATTTGAATCAAATTCTTTTCACCCATTACCTCTGATCACTGGCCTACTCATTCTCAACTTTGTTCTCAAATCCTTCCATGACCAATTCTCCTCACTATTCCTAATTTCTTGCCCTACAACTCTTTGATATTTGTGTTCTTCAAACTTGCCTCTTATGTCTTCTGTTTTTCCCTCCATTTGACCATTCGCAGCTGTGTCTTCAGCTGTCTAGGCCCAAGATCTTGAGTACCCTTCTAAGTTTCTCTCTTTGAGTCATTCCTTAAACCTTGCCTCCAACCGACTTTTTGGTCTCCTCTCCTAATAATCAAATTGCTTTTAAATTATCATAGAATCCCTACAGTGTGGAAACAGGCCCTTCAGCTCAACAAGTCCACACCAGCCCTCACAGCATCCCACCCAGACCCATTCCTGCTGTAATCCACCTAACCTACTCATCCCTGAACACTACGGGCAACTTAGCATGGCCAATCCACCTAGTCTGCACATTTTTGGACTGTGGGAGGGAACCGGAGCACCCGGAGGAAACCTACGCAGACATGGGGAGAATGTGCAAATTCCACATAGATAGTCGCCCGAGGGTGGAATCAAACCCGGGTCCCTGGTGCTGTGAGGCAGCAGTGCTAACCACTGAGCCACAATGCCGCCTTGTCTCAACATTCCCAAGAAGTGCTTTGGAATGTTTATTACATTTGAAGCATTATGTTAATGAAAAATGCTGTAGCATTTCCAAAATTTTCTTTCCGACTCTCCTGAAAGAGCAGAGTCCTGTTAGAGTACAGGCCCATTGCTGATGGCCTTCCTTCAGTACTTATCAAATGGCAGTTTTTCATGATAGCCCAGCTTGAGGGTATCAGCAGGTGATTCAGCTATCAAGTCATCACTCTGGAGAGGAATCAGGACTGTGTTCAGAAGTGGAAAGCCTGGCTGTGTTTCTTTACCTCTCCAAAAATGTTCAGAACAGCTAAGATAGTATTTGGGGTATGTTTCAGAGGTTGTATCGGTTACACACAAGGGAAGTGGAATCAGCTGTTGAGCTACTGGAGAACTATTTGTTTTCATTGTACGCTGTATTATGATCATGGCAGAATCTCCTCTCAGTCGTTTATGCTCCTGGTGCAATTGATGGTCTGCTTGGCATATGTGACCTTGCTCAATCAGTAGGGCAGAGGATTAACTAGTTCTTTCCCTGACTTCCAGTTGGCAAGAAGAGGACTCAATGTGATGCTGATCAGTCGGTCGTTGGAGAAGCTGAGAGCCACAGCAGATGAAATTGGTAAGAAACATCAGTGTTTTCGCCCATTAGGTGGCAGTTTAACGTTATGTGTTTGTTCCACTTAATAGCAAGGCAAAAGTAATCCCACTGAATAGGCCTATAGAGGCAGAGGTGCTGAGTCACATAGTGCTATGGTTTTTCTGCATTATTTCTGATGATCGTGACTAATGAATGGCTATTTGTGTTTGCATTTGCTCCCAGTGCTGGTGGGTTACAAAGGGCTTAAAAATCAGCCAACTTCCCCTTGCTGTTTACCATCCAATGGGCACTAGTGGTAAAAACATCTGGTGCTGATATGCTCAGATATGATGGCCCCCCTCCCCATTAAATTGCCTGCACTCTTAAAGATTGGCCTTTTCAGGCAAAGCATTGGGTCCATAAGAGTCAGAGATAGTAGGAACTGCAGATGCTGGAGAATCCGAGACAACAAGGTGCA